AATAAATAAATCTTAAAAAAAAAAAAAAAAGATGTGCCAGGCGGTTTGGCCCCAGACCCTGAGCTCCTAACTACTCTACCACACTGTACCAATGACTGGTTTACTGGGAGGCCCTGGGACTCGGTCCCGGCGGGGGCAGCCCCATATGGCCTCCTGGCTTCCCCAAGGAACGTCAAAGAGGGGGCTGACTGAGTGCCGCGGAGGAGGGGCTCACCAGGCTGGTCCCGGTTCCAGTGGGTGTACATGACCTCATCCCCACTGAGCCAGCGGAAGGACCCAGTGCTGTTCAGGTCCTGCAGGGCGGTCCAGAAGTATTCGCCATCCCAGTTGTAGATGAGGCTGCTGACAAAGGCCTGCTCAAACCTGTGGGAGAGAAGCCGGTCAGGCAGGGAGCTCGAGGCCCAACCTCCCCCGCCACCACGCTACCCTGGGCCACAGGCCAGATGCCCTGCCCCGGGAGCTTGGGTGTTGTACCCAATCGGCGACTTGCTGAGGTAAGTGGGGGCCCACGGGGACCCTACAGCTGACACACAGCAACCGAGCTCCCCCTGTCCTGCCTGCATCTCCGTGCCCGGCGGAGAAGAAAGTAGAAACAGACACAGCCAAGGCCTCTCTTGGGCATCCAGCCCGCACCAGCAGGGCCCCTGTCTGTTCCTGCCCCTGCCCAGGCCCTGCCCCACAGTGGGGTCACTTAATAAATGGGAATCCTTCTTGGGACGATACTAGAAAAAGGCCCTGGGGCCATTTGAGGCTCCAAGGACTCAGGGCCCTCTGTGCTTGATGGCAGATCGCCACCCCGTTTGGTGGAGGGGCCACATTAGGCCAGGACAGGCATGAGGGCTGGTCTGGGTACGTGCCCCGTCCTGTACCTGTTGGTGATGGTGACCAGCTGAGAACCGTGGTCGGTACATAGGCGCCGGGCCTCGCTGTAGGTGACTTGGTCCTCTCCCAGCCAGTAGCAGGATGGGCTGTGCCACGTCCAACCCTGGCTCGAGAGAGTGGGCAGAAGAGGGATGTCTGTGGAGAGGACTCTCCTCCCTCATCCAGAAAGCCTGGGGCAGGAGATGCCATCGAAGGCATCCCTGAACGTGCTGCAGGCTGGGGCCCAGGACAGAGGGGACTGGTCTGACACCAGAGACGGTTCTTCCCATGCTCTGTTCTGTACCTTATCACCTCACACTCCCCTCCCTACCATCACCTGCCTGCACCTCCATGCCTGGCGGAGAAGGCAGACAACTGCCAGACCAGAGGTGGACGCATGGCCCAAGGGTGGCTGATCGGGAGGTAGCCAGTGACCTGCCTGTGGGCTGGCGAAGCAAGATGACTGGCTCACTGGACTCCTCTCTTGGGCATTTATTTACTTATTTATTTTTAAAGATTTTATTTCTTTATTTGAGAGAGAGAATGAGAGAGAGAGAGAGCACGAGCAGGGGGGAGGGTCCGAGGGAGAAGCAGACTCCCCGCCGAGCAGGGAGCCCGATGCGGGACTCGATCCTGGGACTCCAGGATCATGACCTGAGCCGAAGGCAGTCGCTTAACCAACTGACCCACCCAGGCGCCCTCTCTTGGGCATTTAAACCAAGAGTCACAGTGGGAAAATTGCCAGTTGGCTGAGAAACCAGAGCTGAAATGCTGGAAGAGCTGCCAGGCTGTGGAGGGACCAGGTAACCCTCGGGCCCTGAAAAAGGTAGAGTGAGCAGAGGGTGCGCCTAGCCTGGGGTTGGGGGACAGACCCTCAGCGGGGAGCAGCAAAGCTTTGGAAGAGACCACTGCTCTGAGCGGCTGGCTCTCTACCATTAGACCCCCATGAGACCAGGCAAAGCTTCACCCAACAGACCCTTCTCCCCTTGGACCACCCTGAGCTCTCTGCTCCTGCCTTTCTTTCTTTCTTTTTTTTTTAAGATTTTATTTATTTACTTGAGAGAGAGGGAGAGTGAGAAGGAGAAGCAGACTCCCTGCTGAGCGGGGAGCCCAATGCAGGGCTCAACCCCAGGACCCCGGGATCATGACCTGAGCCGAAGGCAGATGCTTAACCGACTGAGCCACCCAGGCGCCCTGCTCCTGCCTTTCAAAAGAGGAACTGAGGCTCAGAGAGATTAAGTGACTGGACTTTATACACAGACAGTACAAGGTGGAGCCCGGACTTGAACCCGCACCACAAAGGCTACGCCTGTCCTCACCACAGCCCTGCTCCTCCTAAGAGACACCAGGTGCCTGCCAGGGCCTTCACCTCCAGAAGCCCTTGAGATGGGAAGCCTTGGGGTAGATTCAAGGTTGGGAAAGAGACACAGCCCCTTGGGCAGGAGCCAGAGCAAAAGTGAAGCTGGGGGGCGGGGGGGGGTGGATACCAGGGACGGGGGAGTGGTAGGACTGTGCTAAGATCCCAGCTCTCCCAGGGTATTAACTGGGGCTGCTCAACACTGCACACACAGTTCAGGTGGCCCTGGTGCCACGGCAGTTAGTCACTCGTCCTCACTCCCCTACCCCCAGCTCACCCAGGACAGGACAGAGCCCCTGGGCCAGTCCCTGCCCACACTGGCCCCTTGGACACTTCAGCAGGGCCCCTGTCTGCTCTCTCTCCTCCCCACTGCAGGTCATGCCCATTGTTGTTTCAGGCTCCTGCTCCTGGGGGAGAGCTTGGAGTTGATGTGAGGTGGGGTGCGGTAAGGGGGCTTACTCCAAAGGGAAACACAATGAAGAGCCAGACTGGCAGCAAGGGGCTGGCAGGAGCGTGGCCTTGGCAGATGGAGCCATCAGGGGCCAAAACACCATAAAGTGTCTTTTTTGAGCAACCTCCCCATATTCAGCCACACCACTTACACGGCTGCTTGGCTGAGGGCCAGGTTGTGGGGGGGGCCTGTGAGGGAGAGCCTGGGTCCATCACCCACCCACATCCTCATTCATACATGCACTGCCCCACTAACCCAGTCAGTCCTGATCCCCTCCCTCCGTGATGGTCTGGAAGCCCCTGGGGCTAGGAACACAAGGAAGGCGACACCAGAATGGCCTCGTTCCTCCAGAGGAGACAGACAAGCGCACGCTCTATCAGATGGCATGGTGTGTGCCAGCAAAGACAGAGGTGGCAAAGCAGGACTGGGGTGCACCCCGGCAGCCTCACTCAGGTGATGACTTGGAGGTCTGCCCACACCCACCTCCTGTTCTCTGCTGCCTCTGGGAAGTAGCTTCTTCATGCAGAGTGGGGGTGGGGAGCTCTGCTTCCTCCCAACAGCCCCCACCCTACCGCACCCCACCTCATCCAGTGTCACCCTTTCTGGAACAGAGCAGTTTGGAGAGTAGGAAGAAGGGATGTGCCAAGCAAGGGAGGATGCCGTGGGAGGCTGCGGGACTCCATCTGCCCCCTCCCTCCCCAGGGAGCCCCTCTGGTTGGCCACACCCAGGGGCAGCTCCAGAAGCACCCTCACCTTCCGGCAGCCATGGTCCTCCTCGGCCGTCCCCTGGCTCAGCTGGCCTGCCTTCTTGCAGATGGACGGCAAGGACTGGTTGCAGGGACTATCGTTCCAACGACCTTCCTAGGGACACAGGATGAGGGAGCGTCTCAGCCCCCCTCCCCCAAAGCCTTTGGTGAACCTGATTTTTAGACCTGCCCCTGCCTCCAACTTGAGCTCTGTGTGTTCCAGGCTGGCCTGTGTCCTCCGTCTCCTAGCCAGCAGTTTGTCCGCCTTCAGCTCCATCCAGAGGGCAAGGGTGTTTGTGTCCCAGCCCCCAGGAGAATGCCTGGCACGTGGCAGACACCCAACAAATAATTGTTTATAAATTTTTAAATAGCATCCCTTATGCCAGATGGCTCTAGCACCATAGTCCTGGCACTGTTTGCAGGATCTCACTGCAGAATGTCCTCTCTGTCCCTGGAGTCGGTACTCTGTCCCTCTGACTTTGTCTTTTTAAAGGGTCTCACGTCTGCTTGAAGCCCTCCAGCAATTCCTTCATCTACCCACAGGGCATGTGAGCCAAAGCCGCGGCAGACAGTCACCACCCCATCATGTCGGGAGGAGAGAGGCCCCTGGGCTGGGTCGGGCTGCACAGGGCAGCCCTGCCAAAGGAGCAGGCCCATAAAATGCGGCTTCCAAAGCCACCTGCCGGGGGGGAGGGGGGAGAGCAGTTGGCAGAGCAAGATGGTGCCAGGCAGCATCCTTAGGCCCCTTTGATCCTCCCAATGACCCTCTGAGGTCGGCGCTATTAGTTCCATTGACAGATGAGGAAACCAAGGCACAGAGAGGTTAAGAGACTTGCCCAAGGTGAGCCAGCTAGCCGGGGGCGGGGAGGATTCAGACCCTGGCAATCTCTCCACGCGGAAGGGAAGGGGTTGGTGGGGAAGTGGGGGCTTCTGAGAGGCAATGGGGGGGTGGTTTGGAGGCAGGAACTGACAGTAGCACTCCTTCAGCCAGGGTGGCCCCAGGAGGCTGGGGAGAGGGGGTTCTCACCGGCCCCCAGATGGTGACACAGTCCTCCAGGCTGTCCCGGAAGTTGTTGGGCTCAAAGGGGTGCCAGTGGGTGAAGCTCACAAGGCTCCCATCAGACCACTCAAAATTCATCTGCAGTTTCAAGTCGTTGAGGCCGATCCACAGCTCCTCCACCTCTGGGGGAGAGAGGGGAGAGAGCGCACGGAGAGGTCAGCCTGGGCCACCAGCGGCGGACGGAGAGATGGCCCCAGGACCTCTCGGGCAGGACAGGACGGGCACTGAGGAGGCCCTGCCCTCGGGCCCGGGAGCGTGGACGAGCAGCCCCTCACCTTGCTTGATCTGCTTGGTGATGAACTCCAGCTCGGCCATGCTGTGGATGCTGAGCAGGTCGCCCCCGCCCCGCAGACACGCCTTCTTGGACTCGGGCCAGCTGCGCTTTTCGGCCTGCAGGCGATAGCAGTGGCCCTGGAAGGGCTGCCAGTTGGGCTCGCACTCCACCTTCACGTCGGCCCACACGTCTGCAGAGACCCACGAGGTACAGGTCAGGGAACGAGCCGCCCAGCCTGGGTGCCCCGACCCGCCGGGTGTCCCCTCGTCCCCACACCTGTTTCGGATCAGCCCAGGCCAACCGATGCGGAAAAGGCCACACCCTCCAGGGAGGCTGGACGCCCAGAGGCAGAGCCCCAGGAGGTGGTGGCAGATTTCACCCAAGACAGGACTGACGGCCCCGCCGGCGATGGGGGGCGGCTTTCAGAAAGAGATGGTGGTGGGGGGACTCAGGTCAGACCAGCCCTGGGAGCCTCAGTTTCCTCCTCCCTAAATGGGGTTTCCTATTCTAGATTCAAACTTCGCTTATGTCCACCTTGCTTAATAAATGAAACCACTGTCACTGCCTAAAATAGCATATATTGAGTGTGGACTTGGTGCTGATGCTGGCAGTCCAGGATGAAGGGATGGGGCAGTGGGGCCCACCAGGCCAGCGGCCCAGGAAGTCACTGCCGACTGGAAGGAATCCCTTAGCGGGGATTTCTCCTCTTGCTCCTTCCCCGACCCGCTGGGCTCCACCCAGGGCTGTGAAACCCACCAGTCACGGGCTCTTCCTCACCCCGGCTTCCATGCATTTCAACTTCACTGTCTAGGACTGGGGTCCCAGAGCAGCTGAAGCGAACAAGCCCTCACCTGGGCCTTGGCAAGAGAAAACAAGACTTCACTGAACCACCCACAATGTCAGGCTTGGGCAGGATTCTGCCTGGCCAGGAGGGAAAGCATGTGCCCACTCGAAGCATCACCCCAGACTGGGATTCTGGGATCCACTCCATTCTGCGAGACGCTCCAGGGTCCAGCATGCTGTTTCTCGGAGGCCCGGCAAAGTGGGGAGGGCTGAGCCTGAGCAGACTCGCTCCTGGGCTCAGGCTTGTCAATCATCTCCTCAGCCTCCCCAGCTAAGACCCAAGGCTGCCGCCACAGACAGAACCCAAGCTCAGACCTGAGGGGGCCTTCTTTGGCTGTTGGGTGGAGGGAAACTCAAGAAATGTGGATGCTTTGGGGGCACAATGGTGTCTGCCTTTGGAATGACATGCCTTGTGTGATGAGACCCAGAAGGCAGAACCCATCCAAAAAACCGCTCAGAGTGGGATGGAAGAGACAATCCACGGCCACAGACGTATCTGCAGATCCATGAGGCCCCACAGGAGACTTCCCCCAACAGCGGTCACACTGGGAAGATCTGGGGACAGAGGACTTGGTGAGGGGCCAGGCCTGCAGGGGGCCACGGATAGGCTAGGCTTGCCCGAAGGGGGGCCCTCCTTCCTTCGAAAAGCAGCTTCTGAGAAGACCTAGAATTGGTGCCTGCCGAAGACTCCCTCCTAGAACTGAGGTGCTCTAGATGCAGGGCGCCAGTGTTGTAAACCTTTGCTCCTGACCCCTTAGGAGAGGAGGAGAGAAAGCAGTGGCCGGTGGTGGCCCTGAATCAATCTTTGGCAATACCTTAATGGTCTCTCTGTTAGCTCTTTACTTTCTGTGAGTCTGTGGATTTTTTTCTGGGTTTGACGTATTTTCCTTGTTTAAAAACAACAACAACAACACTCCCTCTTCACCGTTCCCATGGTTACTGGACTACCAGAGTAGCCCTTCCAACCGACACTGATAAACATCCTCTGCCACCGATGGGCATGCTCCTTAGGGCCAGGCCAGGTCTCCAGACTTACAACAACCCTGCAAGGGGTCGGAGTTTATTCGCGATTTGCACTCAGAGACCGAGCTGCTTGCCCAAAGCCACATACCAGGGAGGGTCACGGTCCCCAAAGCAGTGCTGTGCCCATTGCCCCAACCTCCTCCATAGGCCCCAAGAGCCATCTCTGTGAATCACAAATGGGAGCAAGACACTCCCTGGCTTAAAAACCTGCAGAGGCTCCCCACAGCCTACCTGGCCCCACCCAAACTGGACCCAGCAGCCAAGACCCCCCGGGGACTGGCTGTGACCTGCCTTTCTGAACTGCTCTCCTCCGCACGCCCTCTAAGCCAGCGCATCCCGGCTGCACCTGCACATGCATGGGGTGAGGATCTTAGGAAGTGCAGGTGAGGGGGCGGGGGCTGAGATTCTGCATTTATAACCGGCTCCCAGGGGATGCTATGCTGCTCCTCGGAAAACCACACTTTCAGGGATTAGAGTCTAGACTCCGACCAGACCGCAATGCTCACCAAACTGAAAGCTGCTGTATACTTCCATGCCTCTACGCCTTTGCACGTGCCCTTCCCTCTGCCAGGACTGCCCTTCCCTCATACCTCTTCATGACTTTTTAAACTTACAGTCAACTTCAAAGGCCCAGATCAAATGTCACTTCCACGAAACCCTTAACTCCCAGGACCTTATGCAGTTTCTTCTCTAGGTATTTCTTCTCCTCTAACATTGATTACACATATTTTTATAATGGCTCAGGACTCAGGCTATTCTAATTGTGTGTTGAGATGTCTGTTACCCTCCAGCAGAGTGTGACTACTGCGAGGACAGTGCGAATTGCCAGCATTTAACACAGTTCTCGACGAACGTTCTCCGGAAGAGTTAATGGAGCATTCCACTTGTCCCTCAGCCAGAGAGGATCAGAGTCCCCTCGTGCCACGGCCCCGGGGCCCCTCCCCGCCCCCGCGCCAGGCCCTGGGCTCGGCTCACCCGGAGGCGGGCGCTCGGCCGTGGCGTTGGGCTTCTTCTTGCACACATAGGGCAGCGCAATGCTGCAGTCGCGGTTCTGCCAGCCACCCGAGGACTCCGTGCGGATCACCCCGCAGTTCTCCTCGCTCGGGTTGTCCGGCTGATCTGTGGGGAGGGCAGGGCGCCAGCACCCCAGGAGAGAGGAACTCACACCCCGGCCCCTGGGCGCTCCTCGGAGCCTCCTGCTCTCAGGGTGGGGCTCGCTGCCTCTCCTCCAACCCCCGGCCCATGTGGTCTGGAACCCTCCACCCAGTCCCGGTACGGGCCGACGCCTCCCTGGCCAGGCCTGAAATCCTGCGCGCTCCCCGAGCCCTGAGCCCCGAGGAGAGGGCATCGGGTTCTAGTGGGGCCCAGTCCAGGAGCGGAGGGGGGGTGGAGTGGGGGGCCTGCCCCGCCGCCCCGCCCCACGCCACTGGACCAGGGCACCAGGAGGAATAAAGAGGCCAAAGGCCTTTGCAGCCCCCAGGCCGCCCTGCGCCCCGAACCCCAGGCCTCACCGCTCTCCCAGTTGAGGTACTTCAGGGGCGAGTTGTCGGACCACTGCCAGCCTCCACTGGTGTCCAGGTCGTTAAGGCCAATCCACAGTGTGGAGCTGTAGCCAGTGAGGAGCCCTGACCGCAGGACAGGCACGGTGAGGAGGGGACCGCCCCACCCTCGGCCCTCTCACTCTGCCCCCCACCAGTGGCCTCCCTGCCCCACCAGCAGAAAGGGCTCGGGGCCCTCCGAAGATGGGGAGCGGGTCTCAGGCTCCTGCCTGCCCCCCCACCCCGGTGTGCCCCGGGGGTCAGGCCCAGCACCCCTCCCCCCCCCAGTGCCTTGCCACCTCACCATTGATGTAGGTCTGCTCGTGGATCTCAGTGATGCTCAGCAGGTCTGCCCCCTGCTGCTCGCAACTGGCCCAGGCCTCCCTCCACGACAGCGTGGACTGGAAGTTAAACTGGTAGCAGCTGTCAGTCAGCTGGTCCTTGTCCCAGAAGGTCTCACAGTCATTACCTGCCACCATGACAACAGTCCCTCAAGGAGTGCAGAGACCCTCACACACGCTGCTCCGGGCTACGAGGAGGGGCATCGTACCTATCGCCCCAGTCCCGGAAGTTCCTCCACCCGCCCCGAGGCCCCTGCCGGTCAGCCTCCGCCGGGAGCCGCCTGGCCCACCCGGTCCACCCTGCTCTCACTCTTGATGGGGCAGAAGCCCCAGCGCTCGTCCTTGCCGTAGTCCTGGGTAGTAGCACACCACAGGTGCCCGTCCTCACGTCCCGTGCTGGTGCAGCTGTGGAACCACTGGCTGTCGTACTTGAAGGGGATGGTGCATGGCTTCCCGTGGGAGTTCCCCTGGATGGTGTAGACCTCTGCAGGAAGGGAGCCGGTGCCTTGGCGTCTGGACCCCAGAGGCTGCCCGCCCCCCTCCGCCTTCAGGGAAAATCCCCTGTCCCAGGGACCGACAAAGCGGTGCCCGAGGCTTTGAAGTCTCCCTCTGCCATTAGGTCAGCGCAGGAGCCTGGGAGAGGCCCCGCCGCGCATCCCCTAGGGCTGGGACGGGGTTCCCGGTAAAGCCTGTCCAAAAATCCAGCTGCCCCTCCCCACAAGCTCCATCTCAGAACTCAGGATGTCTTACAGGAAAAGGACCCCCAGGACGGAGCTGTCCACCACGGAAAGCCCCGCACTGGGTGACTCGGGTCCCCTGTCACCCCTGCAAAATGGGGATCAAGACACCTATGGGAGGGGCGCCTGGGTGGCTCAGTCGTTAAGCG